GCGACATGTGTGGCGACAGAGAAAATGGACAGAGAAGATGGGGCGGGGATCTCTGGGAAGGCGCGCGGGCAAGGCGCGCTGACCCATAATGCATTCATGACATGTGATCGCATTAGCCAATCAGCAGCCAGCCAGCACTGTGTAATGGTGGAGCTATAAATCGCGGCCATCTTAGAATTCTCCATTAGCCTCCGGTCATTCAAGAGAGACAGACCTGTGTGTATTAAGGGACAGAGTTAGGGCCAGAGAGACTTTAGGGCCACAGAATCGTTACTCAGGGACACAGAATCGTTACTCAGGGACACAGAATCGTTACTCAGGGACACAGAATCGTTACTCAGGGCCACAGAATCGTTACTCAGGGACACAGAATCGTTACTCAGGGACACAGAATCGTTACTCAGGGACACAGTGTTCAGTGTTGTGCGCATTAAGCCAGACACCAAAGGGCAGCACAGACCTGTTATTACTCGCTCAAGCATGGCTGAACAAAACCAGTCTCTACCACAAATTGGACCCAGACCTGCCCAGGGTCTCGTAACTAGATTGCACGGAGGAGTAGAGTCCGTTATCGGAATTAAATAGACAAAAACGCCACACCAAAAAGAGTGGCCATTTCCAACACTTATTCCAGAAAGAGGAACAACCCGTTTCATATACGGCCCGTAGACGTTTCACGTCTGCCACATTCAGTCGATTTAAGACGCAAGCTCCACTTCCTGTGGTCTCTGACCGTCGATATACCTTTAAGTGTCAGCTTTGAAGCTATATTCCCTCCGGAGCACTGACACTGGTGCCCTTCCGTCAACATGCCTTTAAGTTTCAGTTTTCAACCATATTCCCCACAGAAGCCAAACTCTTGGGTATCCCAGAAGCTGCTCAGCGGGTCAGGGCAATAAAGCTCCCGGTTCACAGGTTGTTCCGTCTTATGGATGGAAGTACGACGGTATGTGATCTTCTTCGCACCCACGGCATCACCTCATAGAATCTCTGCATTGCATCTGCAATCACAACGCTGACTTCCCGGATCGCCACTCAGCCATTGGACTCTTGATAGTCGTCTCCCCACACTGCTGCTGAGGGGACTTTTTAACATAGGCCTCTTATGGCCTATGTTAAAAAGTCATAGCTGCTTACGCTTCGCCACTCTGCCATGGGCCCCTGTACCGCCTCCTCTTGCTGCTGCCAGGTCCAGAGTGTGTCATGGGTCCCTGTACGGCCTCCCATTGCTGCTGACTTCATCGCCACACTCTGCCATGTGCCACTTTCAGGTCTCCTTACACTGTTGGTGGGTTCCATTTTGTGATAGGGTGCTGTATGGCCTTCCATTGCTGCTGCCTCCACCGCCACCCTGCGCCATGTGCCTCTGTCGTCTGCTCACGCTGCTGACGGCTTCCGCTTTTTAACCGAGGCCTGTGTTTGGCTTCCGAATACTGCTGCATCCACCGCCACCCTGCGCCATGTGCCTCTGTCGTCTGCTCACGCTGCTGACGGCTTCCGCTTTTTAACCTAGGCCTGTGTATGTCTTCAGAATAATGCTGCCTACACCGCCATCCTGCGCCATGTGCCTCTGTCGTCTGCTCACGCTGCTGCCAGGTCCATACTGATTCATGGCCCCCTGTACCGGCTCCTCATGAACGTGGTTCAGCGGGGTTTGCATCACTTAACGGCAAATCGTTGACAAACGCTGGGACGTTCAGTGTTGTGCGCATTAAGCCAGACACCAAAGGGCAGCACAGACCTGTTATTACTCGCTCAAGCATGGCTGAACAAAACCAGTCTCTACCACAAATTGGACCCAGACCTGCCCAGGGTCTCGTAAGTAGATTGCACGGAGGAGTAGAGTTCGTTATTGGAATTAACTGTGAGGGACTTTTAAACCTAGGCCTGTGTATGGCCTTCAATTGAAGCTGCTTCTGCTCCGCCACTCTGCCATTGGACTCTTGATAGTCATCTCCCCACGCTGCTGCTGGGGGGACTTTTTAACATAGGCCTCTGTATGGCCTTCAATTTTAGCTGCTTACGCTCCGCCACCACTCTGCCATGGGCCCCTGTACCGCCTCCTCATGCTGCTGCCAGGCCCGTAATCTGCCATGGGCCCCCGTACCGACTCCTCATGCTGCTGCCAGGCCCGTAATCTGTCATGGGCCCCTGTACCGCCTCCTCATGCTGCTGCCAGGTCCAGAGTGTGTCATGGGTCCCTGTACGGCCTCCCATTGCTGCTGTCTCCATCGCCACACTCTGCCATGTGCCACTTTCAGGTCTCCTCACACTGCTGGTGGGTTCCATTTTGTCATAGGGTGCTGTATGGCCTCCCATTGCTGCTGCCTCCACCGCCACACTGTGGCTCCACACTCTGGTTTTGGCCCCGTGACTGCCCAAATGAGTGAAGTGTGCGGTGATTCTAAGATCGACGGCACTCATCTGCATGTCATACTGACTGACAGTATTATTTCTCTTCCCCAGCAGACTCCAAGGGCATTTAAATTAAAGGTACAGTGTTCTGCACTAATATAAAGGCTCTCTGAAGCCTAGAAACACCCTTTTTATAAGTTAAATTCGCAGCAAATATATTCGGCTCGAAGCGAATTTATTCGGCGAATTCGGCGAATCAGCCGAACCGAATTTTTGAATAATTCGCTCATCTCTAATTATAGTGTATATTTGGTAACGGGAGTTTCCCAGTCTCCGACAAAAGTGGTGGTGGCAGTAGAGGGTTAGTTGCGTAATTAACCCGACCCAGTAACAAGCGCATTCAGGCTGAAGGCACCGATTGTAGTCCATTAGCTGGGCAATCGCTGTGTAGGGTGCAGCTGGGTGGGGCCTTGTTACGCGCGTCACACCGCGGTTTTGGATCGGCCGGCCCTTCGGTCACGAGTCGGTGTGAAGGTCTGGGGGTCTGACGCCGTGGGCATGACGTATTACTGTTAGTCGCGGCTGTGCGATTGTCGCCTGTTGGTGGCGGTGACCGCGGGTCGTGACACCCTTCTGCCAGGAACAATAGACCCCCCGCAACAGCAGATCCCCCCAGCAAGATTAGATTCCCCCAGCAACAATAGGCCCCTGGCAGCAACATCAAATCTCTAAAATTCTCCAGCAGCCAGCAATAATAGACCCCCTCCCTCAACAGTAGATCCCTGCCAGCAACAGATTACCCCCCAGAAAGATAAGACTCCCTAGCAACAACAGATCTCCCACCAGCAGCAATAGACCCCCCACTCAAAAAAGATCCCCTCCAGCAACAATGATCCCCTAGCAGCAAGCATCAATAGACCCTCGAGCACACTCCAGCACCCCTTGGCCATTAGATACAGCCAGTGCTGGAGGTGCCGGAACTGAGTTCCCCCCACGTTCCCGCTGATAAAATGCTCTGCTTACAAGCCATGCTATCAAGGCCATGGATAAGGGGGTACCGCTGGTCCTCCTGTATGGGGCCCAGACTAGCAGGGGGGCCCAGGCAGCTGGGTGAATTGGATGTGGGCACGGAGGGTGATCTGCACAGCGGGGGGAGGGGGGGCAATTGCTGGAACTGATCCCCTGTAAGGCTCTCTCTGCAGCACCTCCAGGTTTACCATACATTTCCCCATGCTGCCCAACCCCCCCATGTGCCCCCCTCATAATGCTGTCTGCTTCTCTCCTCTCCTTCCCAGCTGAAACACACTATAGGATCCGTAGGATGAAGAATGGGGGAAGGGTTCATAAATATATCACATTTACCATTCCTGAATCAACACAACGAGTGATTAATACCGATCACTCACTGTGTTTGTTCATAACTTCAGCATAGTAAACTGTGTTTACTTGGGGGGCCCTGTCACCTTGGCTGTATGGGGCCCCTTGCTTTCTGACAGCAGTCCTGCATGCTACTGTGGATAGGCATAGTCATTTTTCAACAGGGGTTCCCTAAAACCTGAAAAGGGTTTAGGGGTTCCTCCATTGTTAAACAGTCAAGAAAGGCTGCACTAGAGACTGAAAAAATAGTGGGAAGAAGCCTCAAGAATCGACGACTTCCTTTCCTGAATGATCACGAGTGATTAGTACTGATCAGCCACAGTGTTCATTCATAACTGAAGCATAGTAAACTGTGTTTACTTGGGGGACCTGTCACGTTGGCTGTATGGGGCCCCGTGGTTTCTGACAGCAGCCCTGCATCCGTTATTGTGGATAGGCGTAGTAATTTTTCAACAGGGGTTCCCTAAAACCTGAGAAGGGTTTAGGGGTTCCTCCATTGTTAAACAGTCAAGAAAGTCTGCACTAGAGACTGAACAAATAGTGGGAAGAAACCTCAAGAATCGACGACTTCCTTCCCTGAATGATCACGAGTGATTAGTACCGATCAATCACTGTGTTTGTTCATAACTGAAGCATAGTAAACTGTGTTTACTTGGGGGACCTGTCACATTGGCTGTATGGGGCCCCGTGGTTTCTGACACAGTCACTGTGTTCGTTCATAACTGAAGCATAGTAAACTGAAACATAGTAAGCCTCAAGAATCCATGACTTCTTTTGTACCAAGATGCAGAAACAGAGGTCAGGATATAAAGGTGAAAACATAGCAAAGGGAAGACAGCAAATAAAATGGCACCTATCATCCATCCATGGTGATAACCTTCCCCTTTAGTCACAATGCAGCATTCCTGCTGTAGACTCTGTGGACCCAAAGAAAACCACTTTATATTCTCTCTTCTACCCAGTGGTGTATTTAAGTTTTGTGCTGCCCTAGGCAACACAAAAATTGTCCGCCCCCGCCCGCAGACAGAGCCTGACACCAACCAATACCACCCCCCCCCATACTTCCACCCAAGAAAGCCTTCCACCACCACCACCGTCCATACACAGGCCACCCCACCCATTTACCCAATCATTTACTTTCTCCAGACCTCCCCTGGAATGAGAGTTGGGCTCTGCATACAACGTCAAGCTACCCGCAGTCTTTCTCGAATCCCACCTGGTCCCCATGCCGCGTGTGTCCCTTCTTCTGTCTCTTCTTCTGGGGAGCAGTGCTGCCCCCCCTCATAATGCTGCCCTAGGCAAATGCCTTGTTTGCCTTGTGGTAAATACACCCCCGCTTCTACCTACAGACAAAGCTAAATCACTTTATGATTAACCACTTCCTGCCTGACCAGGGGCGGACTGACAACTCATGGAGCCCCCGGGCAATAGGGGATCATGGGGCCCCTGTGTCCTCGCCCACAATCAAACCACACCCAAAAAAGCCTATGAAAAGGTACCAGAGGCATCTCATGGGGCCCCCTACTGACCCAGGGCCCTCGGGCAGTGCCCGAGTTCCCAAATGGTCAGTCTGCCCCTGCGTCTGACCTATGTATATAAACGGCCGGACGGTGGCAGTGCAGGGTCGGGTGGCCGTTTATAAACATCCTCCCTGCTCCCTGCTTGTGCGCGCTCCCTGGGAGTGCACAGCACTGCGATCCAGTGCCCACTGTGTCTTCCGGACACAGTGGAACACCGATTGTTGTACGGGACCTCTATGCGAGGTCCAGATCATGTGATCACTGATTGGCCAATCAGTGATCACATGTAGAGTAGTAAGCAAGACGTCAATTCTGACACCATTGCTTACTACTAGTGAAATCTGTGAATGATCACAGAGGTCACATGGTACAAGGCTATTCACAACAGCCTTGTACCATGTGACAAGCTGTGACCAATCACAGCTTACACAGTATTTCTCAAAGGCTGCAAGAATGCAGCTAGAGAGGAGAAATGATTGCTTGTACAGCCTTTATGGGTGTAAAAGCAATCAGTGTAAAAAAAAAAAAAATCTTCATCACCCCCCACAAGTAGTACAGTGTCACTATGGGGAAACTGTACTGCTAGGGTGACATTATGTAAAAAAAAAAAAACCCCATAAATAATAATATAAAAAAAATTTAAATAAAAATGTAAAAAATTTTTTTGAAAAATTATAATTTTTGGTTATAAACTAATTTGGGTTTTTTTTTTTTTTTTTTTTTTACTAAAAATATAATTGAATACATTTTGGCCAAGACTTATGAAGAAAGATTATTTATTTGCAAAATTTTATAAGAAAAACACTTTTTTTCAACATTTTTGGACTTTTTCATATAGCAAAAAAAAAAAAATCCCAGTGGTGAATAAATACCACCAAAATAAAGTTTTATCTGTCTAAAAAAAATGTTAAAAAATTCATATGGGTACAGTGTCGCATGTCCGCACAATTGTCATTCAAAGTGTGATAGCGCTGAAAGCTGAAAATTGGCCTGGACAGGATGGGGGTGAAAGTATCCGGACTGGAAGGGGGTGAAAGTGTCTGGACTGGAAGGGGGTGAAAGTGTCCGGACTGGAAGGGCGTGAAAGTGTCCGGACTGGAAGGGCGTGAAAGTGTCCAGACTGGAAGGGGGTGAAAGTGTCCTGACTGGAGGGGCATGAAAGTGTCCGGACTGGAAGGGGGTGAAAGTGTCCGGACTGGAAGGGGGTGAAAGTGTCCGGACTGGAAGGAGGTGAAAGTGTCCGGACTGGAATGGAATGAAAGTGTCTGGACTGGAAGTGTTTGAAAGTGTCCGGATTGGAATGGGAGTGAAAGTGTCCGGACTGGAATGGGGTAAAAGTGTCTAGACTGGAAGGGGGTGAAAGTGTCCGGACTGGAAGGGGGTGAAAGTGTCCGGACTGGAAAGGGGTGAAAGTGTCCGGACTGGAAGGGCGTGAAAGTGTCCGGACTGGAAGGGCGTGAAAGTGTCCGGACTGGAAGGGCGTGAAAGTGTCCGGACTGGAAGGAGGTGAAAGTGTCCGGACTGGAAGGGGTTGAAAGTGTCCGGACTGGAAAGGGGGGAAAGTGTCCAGACTGGAAGGGCGTGAAAGTGTCCGGACTGGAAGGGGGTGAAAGTGTCCGGACTGGAAGGGGGTGAAAGTGTCCGGACTGGAAGGGGTTAAAAGTGTCCGGATTGGAAGGGAGCGAAAGTGTCCGGACTGGAATGGGGTGAAAGTGTCCGGACTGGAAGGGGTTGAAAGTGTCCGGATTGGAAGGGAGCGAAAGTGTCCGGACTGGAATGGGGTGAAAGTGTCCGGACTGGAAGGGGGGAAAAGTGTCCGGACTGGAAGGGGGGAAAGTGTCTGGACTGGAAGGGGGGTGAAAGTGTCCGGACTGGAAGGGGGGAAAGTGTCCGGACTGGAAGGGGTTGAAAGTGTCCGGACTGGAAAGGGGGGAAAGTGTCCAGACTGGAAGGGGTGAAAGTGTCCGGACTGGAAGGGCGTGAAAGTGTCTGGACTGGAAGGGGGTGAAAGTGTCCGGACTGGAAGGGGGGGGTGAAAGTGTCCGGACTGGAAAGGGGGGAAAGTGTCCAGACTGGAAGGGGGGTGAAAGTGTCCGGACTGGAAGGGGGTGAAAGTGTCTGGACTGGAAGGGGGTGAAAGTGTCCGGACTGGAAGGGGGTTGAAAGTGTCCGGATTGGAAGGGAGCAAAAGTGTCCGGACTGGAAGGGGGGTGAAAGTGTCCGGACTGGAAGGGGGTTGAAAGTGTCCGGATTGGAAGGGAGCAAAAGTGTCCGGACTGGAATGGGGTGAAAGTGTCCGGACTGGAAGGGGGGAAAGTGTCCGGACTGGAAGGGGGGGAAAGTGTCCTGGACTGGAAGGGGGGGGAAGTGTCCGGACTGGAAGGGGGTGAAAGTGTCCGGACTGGAAGGGGTTGAAAGTGTCCGGACTGGAAAGGGGGGAAAGTGTCCAGACTGGAAGGGCGTGAAAGTGTCCAGACTGGAAGGGCGAGAAAGTGTCCTGGACTGGAAGGGGTTGAAAGTGTCCGGATTGGAAGGGAGCGAAAGTGTCCGGACTGGAATGGGATGAAAGTGTCCGGACTGGAAGGGGGGGAAAGTGTGTGGACTGGAAGGGGGGTGAAAGTGTCCGGACTGGAAGGAGTGAAAGTGTCCGGACTGAAAGGGGGGGGGTGAAAGTGTCCGGACTGGAAGGGGGTGAAAGTGTCCGGACTGGAATGGGGTGAAAGTGTCCGGACTAGAAGGGGGTGAAAGTGTCCGGACTGGAAGGGGGTGAAAGTGTCCGGACTAGAAAGGGGGGTGAAAGTGTCCGGACTGGAAGGGGGGGAAAGTGTCCGGACTGGAAGGGGGTGAAAGTGTCCGGACTGGAAGGGGGGTGAAAATGTCCGGACTGGAAGGGGGGGAAAGTGTCCGGACTGGAAGGGGGGTGAAAGTGTCCGGACTAGAAGGGGGTGAAAGTGTCCGGACTGGAAGGGGGTGAAAGTGTCCGGACTAGAAGGGGGTGAAAGTGTCCGGACTGGAAGGGGGGGGAAAGTGTCCGGACTGGAAGGGGGTGAAAGTGTCCGGACTAGAAGGGGGGGAAAGTGTCCGGACTGGAATGGGGGTGAAAGTGTCCGGACTAGAAGGGGGTGAAAGTGTCCGGACTGGAAGGGGGTGAAAGTGTCCGGACTAGAAGGGGGTGAAAGTGTCCGGACTGGAATGGGGGTGAAAGTGTCCGGACTGGAAGGGGGGAAAAGTGTCCGGACTGGAAGGGAGGGAAAGTGTCTGGACTGGAAGGGGGGGGGAAGTGTCCGGACTGGAAGGGGGTGAAAGTGTCCGGACTGGAAGGGGTTGAAAGTGTCCGGACTGGAAAGGGGGGAAAGTGTCCAGACTGGAAGGGCGTGAAAGTGTCCAGACTGGAAGGGCGAGAAAGTGTCTGGACTGGAAGGGGTTGAAAAAGTCCGGTCCGGACTGGAAGGGGGGTGAAAGTGTCCGGACTGGAAGGGGGTGAAAGTGTCCGGACTGGAAGGGGGGAAAGTGTGTCCGGACTGGAAGGGGGGTGAAAGTGTCCGGACTGGAAGGGGGTGAAAGTGTCCGGACTGGAAGGGGGTGAAAGTGTCCGGACTGGAAGGGGGTGAAAGTGTCCGGACTAGAAGGGGGGGTGAAAGTGTCCGGACTGGAAGGGGGTGAAAGTGTCCGGACTAGAAGGGGGTGAAAGTGTCCGGACTAGAAGGGGGGGAAAGTGTCCGGACTGGAATGGGGTGAAAGTGTCCGGACTAGAAGGGGGTGAAAGTGTCCGGACTGGAAGGGGGTGAAAGTGTCCGGACTAGAAGGGGGTGAAAGTGTCCGGACTAGAAGGGGGGGAAAGTGTCCGGACTGGAATGGGGGTGAAAGTGTCCGGACTAGAAGGGGGTGAAAGTGTCCGGACTGGAAGGGGGGGAAAGTGTCCGGACTGGAATGGGGTGAAAGTGTCCGGACTAGAAGGGGGTGAAAGTGTCCGGACTGGAAGGGGGTGAAAGTGTCCGGACTAGAAGGGGGTGAAAGTGTCCGGACTAGAAGGGGGGGAAAGTGTCCGGACTGGAATGGGGTGAAAATGTCCGGACTAGAAGGGGGGGAAAGTGTCCGGACTGGAATGGGGTGAAAGTGTCCGGACTAGAAGGGGGTGAAAGTGTCCGGACTGGAAGGGGGTGAAAGTGTCCGGACTAGAAGGGGGTGAAAGTGTCCGGACTAGAAGGGGGTGAAAGTGTCCGGACTGGAAGGGGGTGAAAGTGTCCGGACCTGAAGTGGTTAAACAGATGGAGAAATAAATGAACTAATGTAATAAGTAAAAATATAATCTAACTGCAGACCTGGTTAAATGTTTTCCACAGGTTGATAATCAGAAGCACCTGCTGGTGAGAAACCTGAGAAATGTGAACTTTTAAAAATCGAAAAATAATTTGGATGATTTATTAGCATTTTCCCAACATCTATCATTTTGTCCCCAGGGGTTTTTTTTTTTTTTTTTTTTTTCTTCTCTCTCACAAAATGTTATTCTGCATTGTCTTTAAGACAAGGAAGCAAACTTTTTTTTTGTCTAATTTTATAAGTTAGCCTAATTTGCATATATCAAAGGATCCCATATGCAGTCATAAACAGTATCAAGATTTAATAGGCCAAATTCCACGATATGTCTGAAATGAAAGGATGTTTGGGCTTAAATCGTAGAAATTTATATACAAATTAGGGAATTAAAACGCCATATGCAGACATTTTTTGCTTGAAGTTTACTTGTAGGTGCCCTCCAGCAAAATGTAAGACTCTAGCATTAACCACTTGAGCTCCTGAGGATTTCCCCCCCTTAATGACCAGGCCTCTTTTTGCTACTCGGCGCTGCACTAATTCAACTGATAATTGCGCGGTCATGCAATGCTGCACCCAAACGAAATTTACGTCCTTTTTTTCACACAAATAGAGCTTTCTTTCGGTGGTATTTGATAATCTGTGCGCTTTTTATTTTTTCACACTATAAACAAAAAAAGGCCAAACATTTTGAAGAAAAACAATATTTTTTACTTTCAGCTATAAAAAATATATAGTAAACTCAAAGTTGGTTATAAATTTAGGCCAAAATGTATTCTGCTCCATGTTTTTGGTAAAAAAAATCCCAATAAGTGTATATTGATTGCTTTGTGTGGAAGTTATAGCGTCTACAATCTATGGTATAGATACTGCAATTTACGCCATTTTTTTGCTATACAGCGCTGCGCTAGTTTAATGGACAATTGCGCGGTCATGCAATAAGGTACATAAATGAAATTTACATCCTTTTTTCCCCCACAAATAGAGCTTTCTTTTGGTGGTTTTTGATCGCCTGTGCGGTTTTTATTTTTTGCGCTATAAAAAAAAAGGCTGACAATTTTGAGGAAAAAAAACAATATTTTGGACTTTTTGCTATAAAACATGTCCAGTAAAAAAAAATTTAAAAATCAAATTTAGTCATAAATTTCTGCCAAAATGCATTCTGCGATATGTCTTTGCTACAAAAAAAAAAAACCCAATACGTGTAAATTAATTGGTTTACGTGAAAGTTATAGCGTTTACAAATGGCGGGAAAGATACTGGGTTTTAAAATTTTTTTTTTTATACTAATAATGGCGGCGATCAGCGACTTATGGCTGCGATCAGTGACTTATGGCGGGACTGCGGCAGACATTCTGACATTGGGGGGTACTGACTTGGGGTCACTCACATCCCCAGTGACACCAATACAGTGATCAGTGCAAAAAAAAAAAAACACTGACACTGTACTAATGGCACTGGGGAGGAAGGGGTTAACTTTATTTTTCAGGGAAGGGTTATCTGTGTGAGGGGGAGTGTTTTACTAGGGGGCGGGGGTGTGTACTGCACAGGACACCGCTGATTGGGAGAGAGAAACTCTTCTGTCCTGG